CTTAATGATTCTATGATTCTATGATGGGTCATGGGTTAATTGTTCACATTGTGTGAACATCATTTCATCTGTAGTGCAGCTGGATGTGATAGAGTATAATCTAACCTGACATAGTATGATGCAGTGAGTGACAACAAAGAACACAGACAGTTCAGAGGACTTTGTTCTACTGAAAAATGCATAATTACCCGCATAAAGTGTTTAGTAGTTTGTTTTGTTGATGAAGATCCAGAGTCTAATTGCTGCCTGTGGCTTTTGCCTCTAGGCATGTTCTTGGTGTCCATAGCCTACATCAAGTTGGTTCTCCTTCCTCAGGCATTTTGGGAGCTGATACTGTGCAGTAACAACTGAGTGCATCCAGAGGTCAGTGTTGGGCTCCTGAAAGCCTGTTAGTAGGGCCTTCTCTGTGTGGAAGCTATCGTTTATTTTTTCTGTTGGGAATATAAAAGGTAGATGAATCAGTCAGTATGTAAATTTTGCATGAAGCATACAAAAAGTTAAACAGCAGCAAGACTTAGGGGTGCTGAAACACATTTTGCTTTGCATAATTAATATTCCTTCCTGTACCAGGGTGTAGGTCAATAGCAGCTAAAAGTTCAGATTTCTTTCTCTCTTCCTTCTAATGGAAATGAACTATCCCCAGAAATATCTGGTCTTGTATCAGTAAAGACTGAAATTTCAGTTAAAATTACTTTTTCTGAACTCCAGATCTTTTGGTAACTGGATGCTGAACCACAAAGCGTAGTTCGGTAGCTCCTCTCTTACCAAATTGGTCCTCTCATAGGACTCCAGTAGCATGATTCTGGTGATCAGTTATAGCAGCATGGGTGGGGGTGATGGGTACTGGATATGGGATAATGAAGACTGGCCTGTTGCCCTTGGTCTTTGAAAAATTTTGTTCCCCATGTTCTCAAATAAACTTTGCAGTGACAGGCAGAAAGATTTAAAATGTGATTCCTTAGTAGATTTTATTTCTCGGTTTTGTTTCAGGGCTGTCCCTCTATCCTGCCAGTTCTTATCTGTCCATTTGTAAGGAGGTTTTGGGATATCATATCAGAAATTGCATCTGCCCTCAGCCTAAAGTCTAGAGACATGGATTCTGTAAACATATGCATGTATGGGTATTTTAACATTGATACAATTCCATTTCAAAATTTCTCCCTTAGGGAAAAGGAAAAAAAATCTTGGTAGACGTACACAGTTGTTTATGTAAGTCCAGAAAATTAATATATTTTCTAGGTGACTTTTCTGATGTCTTTGCTTCCCACTTCACTGGAACTGTCCCATATGCAGCCTTCTACAGTTGTTCTTCTTTAAGCCAGTGTTTTCTGCCTGAGATAGTTACATTACATTTTGAAAATGAATCAACTTTACATTCTAGTATTAGTACCATTGTAATTCTAGTTTCATGCCTGACAGATTGCTTTACAGAGCCAAGTTTAATACACTTCTAATTAAAAAAAAAAAAACAAACAAAAACACCAAACAGTATAATGCTACCTCACAATGCTATCAAATTGCTCATCTTATTTTCACAGCTCACCATGTTAAAACTGGGACCTGTGAAGTGGTGGCACTCCACAGATGTTGCAATAAGAACAAGATAGAAGAAAGATCACAGACGGTGAAGTGCTCCTGCTTCCCTGGGCAGGTAGCAGGTACCACCCGGGCAGCTCCTTCTTGTGTTGATGGTGAGACTGCTCTATTGCTTCCTTTTGTTGCATGTTCCTAGGGGGCTTAGTGTCATCAATGAGAACCACTCCATTACAATTAACTATCTAAAGTAAGAGTAGGAAGGCTTCTGCATTTTGAAGGGCATGCCTAAGGTGAATGGGAGGAAGATGGGAAAATGAAATATTTGTTATTACTCTGTGGAAATGCTAAGCAAAATTATTAGATGCCAGTGAAAGAGACCTCTTGAGAAGCTAAATTTGATCTAACTAACAGAGTGCCCTCAGAGTTGTATGAAATTCACTTAATTAAAAGTGTTTATGCAATCTACATGAGCATATAATTTTCATGTGCTGCAGTCTTACATTTTATTTATATATTTATTTTTATCATACAGGAGCAAACAAGCAAACAAACAGAACACAGTTCTGTCTGTTTTTTGGTCTTTTTTACACCAACATTATTTTTCCTATTAACAGTGCAATATTAATGTTTTACTTATCAAATCTGGCATAGGCTCATACGTCTTATTTGGGAAAACACTAGCTGATTTTTCACATCTCTTTCTCTGAAAGAGGAGCAGGATGGTTTCACCCTTTACATGATCTCTTTACTCTTGATATGTTGTTGACTGTCAAGAGAGGCTGTAAATATGTCATCATTGGGGAATAAATTTAATCAGGCTATGCTAGACTATATAGTAGATCAGGCAAAATGATCTAATATCATTTAATTCAAATGAAGAGATTCAGCTTAAAACTTTGAATTCTGGCTAAGCAAGAAAAGGTGAGGATTAGAAAGAAATGCTGTGAAATTGGCTTCTGAACTGCAGTAAATTAGAAAGAAAAACACAGTAAAGAGATTGACTTTGAAGCACATAGCATCTTGTGCAAATTGAGACCTAATTTTGTATGAAGGTTCTGAGATGTCTGAAAATAACAGACTAGGTGTCAGTCACTATATTTCTAATATTTTATTGGAAAAGAAAAGAAGCCTTGCAACATAATGACACATTAAAGTGTCAATTTCAACAATGTGCAACTGTGTTTCTTTGTTTTCTCTTGTAGCTTCAATAGTGGAGCAGAAATGGTGGTGCCACATGCAACCATGTCTTGAAGGGGAGGAATGTAAAGTTCTTCCAGATCGTAAGGGATGGAGCTGTTCCTCTGGGAATAAAGTGAAAACAACTAGGGTAGGTATGATACCAAGCTTACACGTTGCCAACAGGTAAAAAAAAAAAGTGCACAGGAAATTAGGTGCACGTAGAAGACATCAGTTGAGAAGGCTAAAGAAGTGTGGGAAGAGAGTTATCCTGGGATTGGACTTCCTGGTCCTGCACACTTTTCTCAGCATACTTTGCAATTGCTTGAACGTGGTGAGCAGTGTGCCAGACCTCAGGTAAGCAGTGGAGATAGTAGAGTTGACCCCTTTTTCAGCTACCAGTAATGATCAAATATGTCATCATCTGATATGTATCTCTCTCTGAAACCAGTTGCACAAAGTCTATACACCCTACTAAGCTCTTCATTCACAGGATAGCAAACAAGTACATTTCTATCAATAACCTGGAATTCCCAAGTTTCTACATAGAAACTGCTGAGTATGGTAAGCATTTGATATGTCATGACAGTATGATCATCTGGTTCTTTCTGTCTTGATTGACTGGGATTTACTAAAAAATTTTGTCAGATTTTCAGTGGGTTATTTTTCTTCATTTGACACTTTTTATCTTATTAGTTCAAAATTATATTAACAGAAATATATCTAACATTCATCCTATACAATGACTGAAAACAAAGTAAACCTGCTGTCATATCAACTTTTTAGTGGCTAACAGAAACAGAAGAATACAAATTATTCAGGTAAGCATTAAGCACTCAGACTTCCTAAAACTTCAGCATTATATCTCTATAGAGTCAACACAGTTCTTTGTCATCATAAACCAGATTAAAATGCACTCTGAAGACATACATGCACGTCTGTAAGCATAAACACCTTCACCCCTACACCCCACCACACATACGGATAACTGGTTTTGCTTGTAAGTATTTAGTAATTGTTTGCAGTGTCAGGCCATAATTTCCTAGTGTGGTGTTTACTCTATGTGGGTGTTTAAGTGTCTATGTCATTTGTTTGACATCTTCCTTGCATAGGCACTAAAATTCAGGTACACCTTGGTTGTTGTGAAACGTAGTATGCACTGAGTGAATTATATTCTTTCTATTCCACAGAGAGCTCTAAATGTCTCCATTTCTGTATGTATGTCTTTAAAACATGTTGACGTCCTTTGAAGGAAAGATATTTCCTAAATGTTTGATATACAATTCCACTCCTGAGTCCTCTTCCAAATTTGTTTCTTCTGAAGCTAACCTTGCTTGAATGCTGCCCACACTTAACTTTGTACATGCCAATGCAAATCTGATTATATACATGTAAAATGTGTGTGCATGTATATTATAAACAAAAGGAACTAGATAGAATTTAATAACAGTAATAGAAACAGAAAAAGAATGACATGTGTCTGTGTTTTGAAATCTGTCCTGGCTACTAGTACATGGCACTATCAGTGTTAAAGAACATGTGCCATTTTATATTTAATGTGAGTGCTTAACAAGCAGTGAGTAAAAATGTGCATCTGGATGATGTTTCTATAGGAAAAAAGAGGTCACAAGAGGGGAAGATATCAATTAGAATCACCTTGAGGAAATTTCTTCCTAACATTTTGTCAGAAGATAAGTTTGTCTATGTTGGTCAAGGTTATGAAGTTCTGTCCACTGTTGGGAGTGAACAGAAGCTCAAGGCTCATGTCATCAAGGGCTTATGCCTCTTTTGCAGACTTGTAGGTCTAGCTCTTTGCAGGAGCTGGACTCTTGTCTTCCATGGATGGTGGCAATCCTCAGCACCCATTTCATACCTCTTCAGAAGTGAAGGTATGAAAAAGCAAATCCTTTTCTCTATTTGCCATCATATGTACTGGTTCAGTACAATGGCTACCATAACCTGCTTGCACTAAAAGGAAAATACTAGTCCCCTTAAATCCCCCACTATTTGTTCTGCCTTCTAGTCTGTCTAGATACTCTATGTTTGCTGCTTTCTTCCTTCATTTCCCACACAACTGCAAAGCTGTTTTGAGACAATAGCAAACCTGAATTCAAATTTCAGACAGAGAGTTGGTCTCAGTTATTGAAACCAGGTGGCAGGGGAATGCAGGTTTCTGTGTTTACAGATGCAGGAGGCCGAGATTTTAACAGACGTCGTTCTGATGCCCAGAAAAATATATATTGCTATTGGAAATGTGAGTGATTCTTTGTGTTAAGAAGGTAGCTTATTATCAAAAAGTGAGTATTTTTCCCTAATATGTAATGACTATAATATTTTTATAGCTCCTCTTTTTCTCCCCAAAGTTTATATAAAGGAAAGAAAAAGTCTAAAGTGCTCTGTGGATTCTAACCCTCCTTTTTTTTCTGAAAAATAAAAAGAATTGTACAGAGAGTCAATAGCAAGAAGTCATGAATAATAAGTTTCTGATTGTCAAATGAAATAACCCATATATGATAATCATGTATAATGTAAAAGCATAAAAAAACAAAGTGAACTGAACAGCTTGGGTGATTTAAGTGTATTGCAGAAAAGCCTTGAGAAGGCTTTCCTGAAAGGCCTAAGAAAGTCTATATTCACTTCCAAAAAATTTTCTGTAAGTTTGCCTCCCTCATGTGCAGAAAAAGTAAGCCAATTAACTGCTGAACTACTATCTTCTCTTCTACATGATATCAAGTTCAAAAGCAGCACCTACGTTTCCACATCTCAAGCTGTTAGTAGTTAAGCATTATGTTAGAGATAAAACTAGTGGAGGAAGGATTTTGCTTGTCCACCTCTGTTCAGCATATTTAATCACAGTACTGCAGAAAATGATGGGACCAACTTAATATGTATGGTATCAGTCACAAAGCAAAAAGGCTAAGTGAATAATGGAAGAAAACAAATTGATTTTAAAAAAATGTGGTCTACTTGAGGTTTTGCATTTTGTTCAGATATGGGGATCTAATAAGATAATACATGAATAATGAATTAGAAATAGTGTGAATGTTATGGTACTCAGAATTCAAATGTTAGGAAAAGTCAGCTGGAAATTATTTACCTTCAGAATGCAAAACCAGGTATAGATTAATCTGTTTTTCCTAATTTGTCTGCATATTAGTGGGAGAGAGCTGACATTAGGAGTTAACCATGGAAAAAGAATGAATACGGGGAGGGGAGAAGTGTGTATGAATAAGCTGAATACTGAGTTGTGCTCGTTTAGAATTGGCTATTTTGGGTCTATGTAGCCTGTAGGAGGGGAAAGGCAGAAAAAGCAATGACAATTTAGCTAAAACAATATTTTTTTTGACTTCATATAAAGAAATGTGTGTTTGCATTCCTGAACGTTTTACCACAACAAAAGAGGATGTTCAGGAACATGGTAGGAGAATTATGAAATTATTATGTGCATAGCTGAGGTTTACCAGGCACATTGCAGCATTCTCCTCCAGACTGAGAAACTGTTGTGAGAAGAAGCAATTAAATTTCCTTCTGTATGGCTAGCCCCAAAATTTTGATAAATAAACACAAAAATTTTGTCACGTTAGCCTCTTTAAAAGATGACAAAAGTGTTAAAAAAGGGTGAAAATCCAAATAATTTATTTTTACCTTTGAAATATTTTTTGTTCTTACAGCCATTTTCTAATATAATTATTTTCATCCAAAAAGCTCTCTTTGTTGTGTTTCCTTTTCTTTTTGCAAAATAAGGAAAATGTTTGTTTAAACAGGGGAATTTTCCTATCAGTTGAAAACTCAAAAATCTAGCAATGTTATGTATAAAATTGACAATGACATTAAAAGATGCAATGAGTTTGTATTAAACAAAGGAGGCCTTTACAAAGACTGGAAAACTGCATTTTGTAGACAGATAAGAGCTGAGGAGAAATAATTTAATATTTCTCTCTGTTATGGGGTGTATGCCGTATGAGAGGTCTCTGGATAGGGGTTTTTCAAGCGCAGAAACAGATGCCAGGCTTTACTCATGTTTTTAAGAACAGTGCATTGTCTGTTATCTTTATAATAAAGTCTGAATTTAAATAAGAGCCGCAGAAGGTGCATGTAACCTGTATGAAAGTGAATGCTGCAATGCCTCCTGGGGTCCCGGTTCACCAGGCATCCACCCTGGGACTAGCCTGGAGCCTGTCATGGCTCCTGGGCAGCCCATAAACCTGTGTGTCTTTCCTGAAGAAAGTAGAGCACAGGAATGGAGGTAAAAAGTGTTGCATCCTGGGTCTCATCTTGAGATCGTGGAGGTGCGACATGACTGAGGGAGTGTGCACTTGTGCCTGCGAGTGGGGAAGTCTCCCTGGGCTGATACTTTATGAAGATGTAAGGAAATATGCTTTGATATTTTTCATGCAAAATAGAATAGAATAGAATAGAATAGAATAGAACTATAGCAGGTGGAAGGGACCTACAGAGATCATCTAGTCCAACTGCCTGACCTATTCAGGGCTGACCAAGTTAAAGCATGTTAATAAGGGCATTGTTCAAATGCCTCTTAAACAGTGACAAGCTTGGGGCATTGACCATCTCTCTAGGAAGCCTGTTCCAGTGTTTGACCACCCTCTCAGTAAAGAAATGCTTGCTAATGTCCAGCCTAAACTTCCCCTGGCACAGCTTTGAACCATTGCAGAGTAATGAAATAGTATCCAGTCCTTAAGCTTGTAGTTTGATTTGATAGAACTGATTGTGGAATGAGGCATAGTTTAACGCTAAGTACTACGTTCTGGTTAAAATATGTGGAGTGGAATTTACTGGACTTTGGTTGGGTTAGGACTCTCCAGAGTGTGATGACTAGCCTAAGGTCCATGCTGTCTTTTTAGTATTGGAGACAATTGTGCAATTCCAGAGGACAATTTATTTTGTCCTAAAATGTCAGATGAATTATCTTCTGGAGGTGCTTATGTCTCCCTCCTAACTCTAAAGGAAAGCTATGATGACTAGCTTAGTGCCTGACATTTAGACACTTAATGTTGAATAGGAAGATGCTGGCTCGGAAAATCTCTTTGATGTCATCTTCAGTAGGAAGATAATAAAAAAAGCCCCTTCATTCTTTGTCAGTTTGGGAAGCTTCGGACTTCAACCACTATCAAATGCAATATAATATAAGGG